CTGTCACGGTTCATGGGTCCGGACGGTCTTTCTGTGTCTTGTCATGTGGTTGTATGTGCGTACGTCATTCATTAGTGTTTGCAGCTGGCGCTCAATTAGAGCGCGCCAGCTGCAACTCGTTAACGAGTCCTATATAGGGCACTCTGTTCAATGTGTGTTTGTCGGTTCGTTATCCTCATGTTCCTGTCTCCTTGTCAGTCTCTGTTTCCAGTTCTCGCTCAGTCAGGGTACAGATCTTCAGCCTTCTCCTTGGTTTGGTCAAACGCAGTGGAGGAAGGGATTTCTCTGTGGAGCTCTGATTCGGACCTGGACCCGAGGATTATCTTTGTTGTCTCCGTTGTTTGTGATTACAAATAAACCTTACCTTTTTGCACTCGCACTTGGATCCTGACTCTTCTCTGCCGTGACACAGGGTTTGCACACAAATATATATATATATATATATATACAGAGCGAGAGAGAGAGAGAGCAGCTCAACTGAATTTAACTGATAATAATAAGCAATTACTGAGCATTAAATCATAATATTAGAATGATTTCTGAAGGATCATGTGACAATGAAGACTGTAATTATGATGCTGAAATTCAGCTTTGCCATCACAGAAGTAAATTACATTTTAAAAATATTAAAATAGAAAAGAGTTAAAGTATTATAATAATATTTCACAATGTTGCTGTTTTTACTGAATTACTTGATCAAATAAATGCAGGCTTGGGAAGCTTAAGAGACTTCTTTCAAAAAATGTACTGACCCTCTTTTGAATGGTAATGTGCATTTTACCATATTTAAATCAGATTTTCCCATTAAATCAGAACAGAAAAGGCAAAAGTCGTCTATGGGTTTTGCCTCGGCCTAATTATTGTTTTACTTCAAATGACATGTTCTGATACTCAAGTGTGAAGCTATGTTTCAGCAGCGTGCAAAGAAGCATTTACCTTGGAAGGGTCCGAAGCTGTGATGATCCAGGTGCAGTTAGCATTGTTGTCATATTGTACTGGAAAGTTTGGGGAGGTGATGATGCCACTAGGGCCACGGAGCTGACCACCACACATAGGAGCTGAAAGAAGAGGGAGACAGTATGTTAAAGAGCAAATCATGTAGTGAAACAACATCTCATCTATGAAAGATCTAAGGTATTGGGGGGGGGGGGATAATTTATCATTTTTAAATTTATCTATTTATCAATAGAGTTTTTTGCTAAATGTGTTCTGTTGCGTTCTCTTGCTGCCAGATACAAAAAAAATCTAACATGTCAAATACTTATAATAACTGCAAATCTATAATTCAACTGAACGAATTAAGAATTAACAACAAGACCACAAGGCTGTTTCACACTGATTTGCAGCTCCATCTATTGAAATCTATTAAATATCAAAAATATTGTCTTTATTGTCAGATTCAACATGTCGACAAATTATTAAATAATTATTTTCTATTTAATCACACATCCATTGTCTGCAGTAGCAGAATAGAACAAACGTAAAACAAGGGAAACAAGGGAAACTATCTATAAATCCCAAACAATTTATTTAATATTTTCTGTGACAAAGCCGACACATCATAAACAATGGTTTTGTAGGTTTTTGTGTAACTTGTATCAAAGGAATGTATTTATTTATTTAATAAAATATCTGAAATGCTTTATCAAATATCTCAAGAAACAGTGAAGTGCATTTCGATACCACAACATCAGTCTGAAGAGTAAACCTAAAAAGAAAAGCAAGAGGACTGCAAACACTTAAGTCCAACAGACAGACTCACAAGAATTGTTTTTCTAGATATCACTCATACTATACCCTATCCATACCACTTTCAAAGGTTGATATTGGCTTATGGGCCTGCAGACGAAATATAACAAAATCTTAAATAATAATAAAAAAAAAGTCTTAGCCTTCGGCTGCAGTCAATATTTCGCACTTGATTATTGTTACCTATCACGGGTTGTTGGTTTTGATTGGACCAGCGTGTGACCTGAATGTTCAATGACCTTACCAATGACTTGTTGGGTGCTTGACTTTTCTGTGACTTTTTAAAGCGACTCTCTCGCGGCCTCCAGGAGGACTTTAAATACTTCCTTGAATGAAAGCACTTGATGTCTAATGAGAAGGGAGGGCACAGCCAGCGTGTTCGCACTAAATGAATGTTTCTGCAGGTCTGGGACCAGCTGGAGCTTTTAATGAGCTAATGTCTGAGGTGAGCTCCTCAGGGCCTCCCCTGCCACATACACACACTCACAAAGTTTCCTCAACACTTTAAGGTGGGCTGACATTAAAGAACAAAAGTCTTTGGAAAGTTAATTAACATCAGGGCTGGCTGACCCCAATTTTCACCTTCACGACATAATGTGTGTTGTCTGCAGCTTTCTGCTTTAAAGGTTTGGGGTTTGCTAATAACACATTCATTGATACCGTAGCATTTTTGTCAATCATAATACTTATTGGGGTATAAAAAATTCTCAATGAGAAAACTCCTGGGATCATCCTAACTAACATTCTAGGCACGTATGATTATAATATGACAGAAAGAAAGAAAGAAAGAAAGAAAGAAAGAAAGAAAGAAAGAAAGAAAGAAAGAAAGAAAGAAAGAAAGTTTATGGTTATAAAATACATAAAAAATAAATACAACAAAATTAACCATTATATAAGATTCTGCAGAAATTCATATTTAGGTATCACACAGAAACCTCCTAGCACTGTTCTGAAATGCTTGTAAAAAAATAAAAGCTAATAAAAAGGTAAATAAAGAAGTTTAGGGACCAGTACTCACTATTAACTAATTGCTTATTAGCATTACATGCATGACCATATTCTACATCCCTTAACCCTTAAATGCATACCTTTATATCTTTAGCGACCCGGGACATAATTCTCTACCCTCTCTCTCCTTCATTTTTTTAAGTTAGACATCAAATTTCTTAGTATTCCTCAATCTATTAATTATAAAGAAGAAAAAAATGCCAGTTTTCTGATGAATTTTTTGTAAAAAGTGTATAGGGTCACTAGAGACCCGAGGTATGTAAATGTGTAAGTACTTTTTCCTGCGCAACTATATTTACATATCTGATGACTCAATATGTGCAATGCATCTTTTTTCCTCAAGGTGGCACTGTTTGATACATAATGATGACGTGACGTTTCACTCATAACTACCGCAGGCATAAAACAAATGAATATCATCAGCAAAAATTGAAGTGGTTTGAATGGCTTTACTGCAGAGCAATTACTATACGCAATGAAATATAAATGTCACTGTCATTTGATGCTGGATGTGGTGAATAAGCTGCCAGTGATCAAAATATTGGATATGAAGTCATTGAAAACGATAGTTTTGACAATATGGTTGAGATCGTGAATATGAGGCAGATGCTGAATGTACTGTGGAACCTCTGACGATGACAGTGATGGTAAAATCATCTGCTCAAATTGAACCCTTTTAAGTTTCAAAAGGTAACGAAATATGCTTTATTTTATTCTTTTGTAATTGTTCTTTTGAGATTGAGAGTTTTTTTTTGCTATTGCAGCAGTTAGAGATCCATCCGTGCTGTATATATAGGTCCGGGTTGCTAAAGACCCTAATATGTAATAATAATTGGCGAAACATTCATGCAATTAAGGGTTAATCCTACCCAATACCCAATAAACTTACCAACTACCTTACTAACTATTAATATGCAGTAATTAGGAGTTGATTGAGGCAAAACTTGTTGTTAATAGTGAGAATTGGACCTTAAAATAAAGTGTGATCAATAAAAATAGCCATTAGATAACATTGTGTAGAAGTTCTTATTTGGTGGTGACACATACTTTACTGCAACATTCTGGAAACTTAAATAATAATAACAACCATTAGATCACATTTCAAGGCGTTATTAGATTGACACACACACAATCTGGAGTTCTGGAAATGTTAGTTAATGGTTATATATACATATATAAAAAAAACATTAGTTCACATTCTGTATAAGTTCTTAGGCTGTCATGTAAAATAACCTCCCTGTAATGTTCTAGAAATTTTAGTTTATGGTTATAAAAATAAAACCTACAACGAACATTCTGAGACTTGGTCGGAAGGAACTTGGTCGCAAGGATGTTAGGAGAATGTTGAAGGCACTGCAGGGACTATAACTCAAACTCTAAAATGAACCAACATACTCTCCAACATAATAATCATGCTATTAGAAGAAGGTATCTATTAGCAGGGGCTCAGCTGTGAAACAGTCCAGGTTTATTTAAGTTGTAAGGGCAGTGCTGCAATAAGATACTCATTTAAAGTTCACCTTATTCAGGCTGAATTTTTATCAAATTAGATTCAGGCTAACAGTTCCAAGACCCTGGATTTCTCAATGCACATTTCAGGTTTCAGATTCAAAATCTATAGCAGAGTTAATGAAATACTGGGAAGTTTACTTTAAAAAAGAAAAAAGAAAAAAAAAGACAAGGATTCATTCCAAACAGTTACTTTAAGCCACTGGACCAACAATCAGCATCAAATGGCCGTTAAGACTTCAATTTTCTACAAACAAAACTCACTGCTCATGATGTATTGTGTATTTCAGGTTCTATTAAGATTTGAAGCTTGATTTGATTTCTAAATAGCCAATAAAAAAGACACAAATGTATTTATAGATTTCTTGTGCAAGTCCTAGATCCTTTACAATCCTGCAAATCACGGAAAGAACATTTCTACACATAGAGAGAGAAAACCTCAAGGACACATTATTATTATTGAACTTTTTATGCTTGTATTTATTTATTTAGCGACAATGATTTATGAGTGCTTTTTCTGTGGCACCATTACTAATTATTCTTATGATTCAGATTTTCCTGGAGCATGCAATTAAAATGGACCGGTTTTGAATAATGGCCTGGCATTTAGAGTGTTAAATCAATGAAACAAGACAAATAATCATTCTCTACATTAGTGGTGAAAAGGAGCAAGCGATGAAGAAATGGGTTCTGGGGAGCAATAGCTAAATATCAACCCTTTTCACATGAGTAATGGGGCTGATAAGAGAACTTGGTCTATCTGGTGATTCCAACAGTTTCCCAATTCCAGTTCCATTTTCTCTCTTTCCACAACCCCACAGTGATGTGCCAAAAACTGATCGTTAAATAATCAAAAACAAAGGCAACTGGTGCAATCCATCACAAAGCTGTCTAACTAACTTCCTCCTGAAGATTGTCCAGCCTGAGGGGTCCACGGTGGCAAAGGCCACTGCTGGTGTTGGAGAGGAGATATGTAACTCTAATGAAAGACTAATAGTCCACAGCTGGCCAAGCAACTCAGGAGAAATTAATCGATATGAAGGAGAAGGGAGCAGATAACCCAACCCTTTATGCGTGTCAGCGTGATGATGTAGAGCTACAGTAAGCCTGAATGTTCCAAATAGTATATTAAAATGGAGTGTTATTACTCAAATATGACATCTTACCTAAAAAAAAAACACTTTATCATAACACAAGTAGTTCTTATCTCTGTTTGGGTAAGACGTAAGCACACACTAACAAAACACAGATACTGTGAATATTGTTAAGTCTGTTTTTGTTCATTTAAGCCATTTTGTTTTAAATAAAATAACATTTATAATAATCATTATACAGATGCCCACTATATATATATATATATATATATCTTTATTTCTTTTTGAAAAAAGTCTCTTATGCTCTTCAATACTGCATTCATTTGATCAAAAATAAAGTAAAAACAGTAATATTGCGAAATATTATCACAATCTAAAATAAATATTTTCTATTGTAATACAATTTAATATGTAATTTATTCCTGTGATGGTAAAGCTGAATTTTGAGCATCATTACTCCAGTCTTCAGTGTCACATGATCCTTCAGAAAGCTTTCTAATAGGCTGTTTTTCTTCTTAAGAAATATTTCTTGTTGTTATTGATGAAAAGTTGAGCTTCTTAATATTTTTGTGGAAACCATGATACATGTTTTCAGGAAACTTTGATTAATAGAAAGTTCAAAAGAACAGCATTTTGCAATTTTAATGCATCCTTGATCAATTAAAAGCATTTATTTCTTCCCAAAACAAACGAAAAATCTTACTGACACCAAACTTTTGAACAATTTTTGAACAATAAAAATTATTACATTATATAAAAATGTACAGAATGTATATACTAAAATATAACTTAAATATAATTTAATAAATATTAAGTTTATATATATATATATATATGAGCAATATCACTCGAGTACGAGAGCGATACCGGCTCTATATCAGCATGGCTGTGATTAGACCAGATGCACGAGGCAATCACAGCCGCTGATATAGAGCCAGTATTGCTCGAGTACGAGAGCGATATTGCGTTTATACAACAGTTCGACGGAATATGTGTGTAAATAAACAAGAAACAAAGGAGTGCCTAATAAAACCCTATTTTGTGTGGAACTACTTCCTTCCGCCACGGATTCAAAGCTCAAGTTGACAGTTAAACATAAGTCACTTTTAGAATCCGTATCAAGGGCATGTGCTGCTTCAGTTAGGTTATTAGTGAAAAATAATGAGGTTATAAGAGAGAAACAATGCGGCCAAATGGTAACGTACTCTACCATTAGCTCAGTGAATAATTAAAAAAAACATAGACCCGGCTAGAACAAGCGGAGTGATACAAAATTGTGAAAGGGCGTTCCTTTAGCGATACCAGCACAATATCTCACGGTTCTCAACCATATATATATATATATACGTATATATACATATCTTATTCTTATTCTCTTCAGGTACCATACCACTGACAGGCTTTGCTGCATGTAGTTAAGATGCTTGGTGTTGGTACCACAACTAAATGCCAGACTCGCACTTCAATTTACGGTGCAAGGCAAAGGTGGCAGTATGGTGGACAGCATCTCTCTGGGGATGTGACAGTTGCTGCAGGAATGAAGTCCTGGGGGCTGTCCTAGCCAATCAAAGTCAGAAATTAAGCAAGGCTCAATAAAGTAATTAATCGGAGCCTGGTAAGGCTAGATAAGCTGATTACTGGCTGAGCTATACCATCTCTTCCTCCTTAGGAAATCTGCTTTAGAGATCTGTTGTCATCCTCTCCACTTCCTCTCTCTCATCTCTTGCTTTTTTCCCTCATTGTCCTCCTTCATTGTCAGGTCATTAATCAAGGCCCTTTAACTCTGCAGAGATACACTGAGATTTCAAATAATTCAACCATTTGTTAAACAAAAGGGCTTAAATCTACTGTGATCAATTTGATTGTTGTAAATATGACATGAGACTTTATAACTTTTGAACAAAGGTCAAATCTGGGGGGGGATGGGGGGTGGGGGGGGCATACCTCTGCAGATAGGCCGATCATCACTCCAGCCAACATAACTGTCCGTAACTCGTAGGCAGGTGATGCTTTTAGACCCCTGAAGCTCGTATCCTTCATCACAAGAAAAGTGCACAGTAGCACCCCGCCTGCAAGAGGAAAACACTGTTATTTTGCAAGAATACCAACCCATACCATCTATAAATTCTACATTATGTACATTCTATACAGTCAGTCATTATAGCTAAATAAATCTTGACAGAATAATCAGGCCCCCGATGTGGAAGTTTATTTTGCGATAATGACTGGCCGGCTGCACATTACTTATCACACGGCTACTTAGCAAATAAATAAATACATGGACATGAAATATTGATATTAGTTGAAATTATTGCATTTTGTGAGAAAGAATGCAACCACAGCGTGCTATGAGAGACATGAAACTAGCACAGAAGATTGGTGGCCAGGGATAATGATCAATTATGCAGTTTATCAGTCATTGTATGCAGATATCTGACTGCAGAATGGTGCGATTGATGAATCAGATTCAATTCCATTACATAAATAATTCTATTCATCTCCTTTGAAAAAGAAAGCGAGGGGGAAAACATCATCATCTATCATTTCCCTGGATTCTTTTCCAACTGTGCAAAATGCTAATGTCAGATGACTCAAGCCCTTCAAAGCAGTTCCCAACCTCTCACATGTGAGCTGGTATCTGTTCATGGCTAAATCAAATAGCATGTCAGCATAAATACCCCTCTCTCGAGCCAGCAGCAGTGGTCTTGTCTGATCTTAGTAATGGACAGCCCTTGGGAAACTGCGATGTGCGCTTCCAGATGCATCGCTGTGCAGCTTCTATTACCTAGCCGCTGATGAAGGGGTGCTCAGGTAGCCGGAGCTAAGAACATTTCAGTGAAAAAGTTTAGATTGTCTTTCACTTCCCCACTGCGATTGCCCTGAGTGCTAGTGAGTGTAAAATGGATTGTCCTCATTTGTCTGTGTTAGAATCCTCTGGGGCGCTGCCATTCACCCTGCGGGGGGATGCTGACAGCCTAACTTGCACCGCAGGCCTCTCTGTAGCAGCACTGTGCTTGTAAATGACACTACTATTGCTCTGTCCCCACTCAATTAAATAGGTCCGGACCTCTGTCTCATTTTCAATCTCTTTCCCTCTCTTGTTCTCTTTTTCTATCATAAATGATGGTTCACATTTCACGTGCTCTTTCCCGCGGTGAATTTTAAATTATTTTACTAATATAGTTTAGGATCATGTTGCCATTTTTCCATTTCTTAACTTCTCACATATTCCAGGTTCCTTTTTTTTCCTTCATTTCCCCCTCTATCTTTAATATGGTGTCTTGGAAATATTGTTTTAATTGAATCAATTTATAGGTTTTTCCTCTAACCTCAATATCTTTCTATTCTGTTAAAGGGATACTTCACCCAAAAATGATAATTCTTTGACATTTTTGGGCAGGATATCCCATTATTATTATTATTATTTATGTATTTGTTTGGTAATACCCCTTCAACCAAAGAGAAATCCCTAATGACATCATTTTCCAGAATGTGACAATTTTAGTGGGAAAACAACAGCACAAATATCAATATATATATATATATATATATATATATATATATATATATATATATATATATATATATATATATATATATATATATATAATGTACAATTAATGTAAAGTTGATGTTTTAATGCATAAGGTAGAGAATAACATTCCTCTCTTTCTTTCCATCTCTGTCTCTCACTCTTTCTCCTCTCTCCTTCCCCTCTTGTTGTGACCTTTGGGAGCCCACAGCCCATGTTTATGCTGATCAAATATCCTCCCTGAGCCCTTAAAAGGCCAATGAGAAATAAAACAGGTGCCCACCTCCTGAATCTCTTGCTATTCATCATCCTGGCATTACAAACACTAAATTAACTGCACTCCTCTTCCCTCTCTCCTCCCGTGTCCTCTCAGTGGACTATTTTAATAAGTAATCCATAAACTAATTTCTCACCTGAAATCAGAGCCTTTTCTTTTGCCCCTCTCTGGGATTCCTGGGTCTGGACACATGTTGTGTCCTTGCGCCACCCCCATCTGTGATACTGCAAAAGACAAAACGGGGGGGGGGAAAAGTTGGTTTTCACTGGGGTACCCCATCCAACAGCAGGTCAGGATAATGCTACCCCCACTTTTAATTTTGCTCTTGAACATGGAAGTCATTAAATATCAACACATGTATTAAACACTTACACTTTTATTCATCTTGACTTAACATTTATGAGGTTTATTCATATGATGACAAATATTGTTTTTGAGTGAACAGTTTAAGTTAAACACTTAGTGTATAACAGGGCTTCCCAAACAATTTTTTTTCAGTTGAACACCTTTGACATTGTTACACACATGGACTGCCTCTGTGGTCCTGTCTTGTGTTTTGCTCCCCATGTGCTCCCCGTGACCCAGTTTCTCCTCGTGTTGATTGTGTTCATTTGATTCAGTTTTGTCTCTGTAATTACCTCGTTTAGTTCCTGTTATTTAGCCCAGTGTTTTCGTGTGTCGAGTGTCTGGTGTCTAATGCCATTTTGAGTCTCCTGCATTGCCTATGTTCCCTGCTTTTTGAGCTTATTAAAGTCTATTTAAGTTTATTCCCACGTCTCCTCATCTCCTCGCTCCCTGCTCCTCAGGAGTGTGACAGAACATCAGACCGAATACAAAGATGACAGAGGCTGAGGATCGGCTGTGGTGTCCCCGGCAGGGTGGCCGGCCTTTGGAGAGGTATGTGGAGGATTTCCTCGAGCTCTCCAACTGGGTGAGCTGGCACAACGCCGCACTCGGAGCCTGTTTTCAGCTGTGGCAGGATGAAGAACAATCCACTGCAATCTCCCCACGTGTGATTTTCCCTTGATCGAGCTGATTAATCTTGTCCTCTAATTTAATGGTTCCGATTACGAAGTAGAAGAAATAAAGGAGAATTTAAAGTCTCCTCATCCAGACCCCTCTGGAACACACCGTGTCTCACCAGCTCACCCCATGCCAGGAACCCCCACATACCTAACCAAGGGTTCTGACCACCTGTCACCTCTGAGGTACCCCCGAGGCCGTAGACAGAGGTCTGACCCCATGTCCCCACGTCCCAGTCGGGCAGGACCGCACTCCTTTCGACTTCCCTTTTCCTGACTCCAGTCCCAAGATCCGTCTCAGTCCAGGATCGCCGGTCGCTCCTCCGTCAAGCCCGCCGGCCGCTCCATCGTCGAGTCCGCTGGCCGCTCCATTGTCAGGCCTGCTGGCCGATTCACTCCCAAGCCCTAGGATGAAAGCAGTTATCTCCTTCACCTCTGCACAAAAAAGGAGAATGCGGAGGAAAAGACTGTGGGCTCCAGCCCCTGACCAGAGTTAAGACATGGCTCTAGCCCCAGTCCCGAGTCGAGAAAGGGCTGCTGTTTCCACATTGAACCCAGGGAGGGCTCCAGTTCCTGAGTTTAGCCCAGAGAGGGCTCCTGTTCCCACGTCCAGCCCAGAGAGGGCTTCTGTTCCCACGTCCAGCCCAGAGAGGACTCTGGTTCCTATGCCCAGCCCAGAGAGGGCCCCTGTTCCCACATCCAGCCCAGAAAGGGCTTCTGTTCCCACATCCAGCCCAGAGAGAGACTCGGTTCCAAAACTCAGCCCAGAGAGGGCTCCTGTTCCCAAGTCCAGCCCAAAGAAAGCCCCTGTTCCCACGTACCGCCCAGAGAGGGCTGCAGTTTCCGCCATGGCTCCCTAGTCTGCCTGCTCTGCCATGGCTCCCCGAGCTGCCCGCTCCGCCATGGCCCCTTGAACTGCCCGCTCTGCCATGGCTCCCTGAACTGCATGATCCACCATGGGTCCCGGAACGGGTACCGCCCTGGAGGCCTTCCGTTCCGTGTAAGCTTGTCCCTAGAGGCCTCCAGAGCGCCCAACCCCACTCCCCGTTGGAAGTTATGAGGGAGGGGGAGGTAATGACACGCCCATGGACTGCCCCTGTGTTCCTGTCTTGTGTTTTGCTCCCCATGTGCTACCCGTGACCCAGTTTCTCCTAGTGTTGATTGTGTTCATTTGATTCAGCTGTGTCTCTGTAATTACCTCGTTTAGTTCCTGTTATTTAGCCCAGTGTTTTCCTGTGTTGAGTGTCCGGTGTCTAATGTAATTTTGAGTCTCCTGCGTTCCCTATGTTTCTTGCTTTTTGAGCTTATTAAAGTCTGTTTGTTTATTCCCACGTCTCCTCGCTCCCCGCTCCTCAGGAGTGTGACAGACATAGAGTTAATACTTCAATAATTGAAGAACACATTTGCATGTTCATAGTTCTCTGATGATGGTTAATGGACAAATAACATGTAAGTAAGAATATTTCATAATTTCAAGTGTTTTATTTTGTTTGTAGTTATATTTAAATAAATTATTTACTTTTACAATTTGACATTTTTTGTTATTTAATTTTATTATAATTCATGGACTTATTATATGATTTAGATTTACATTTAAACAATTTTTATTATTCACCATAACCTAATTGAGGCCAATTGAGTGGAACAATTCAATATGAATTCATAGTTCATTGCTATTGTGACATCCCTTGAATTCACAATATAGGCCTATATATAATTCATATAATTATATAGTGTAATTCAGATGTGCATATTTTAATGGGTTAACTGATTTATCATTATTTAACATAATTTTCAAAATTCATGCAGTATTCTCATTTAGTGAACATAATAATTATTTGATTTAGAGTTTTACAATCATGCTGTTCTTTTAAAAGTAAAAAAAAAAAAAAAAAAAATATATATATATATATATAAATATATACACATCCCTTAATAATATACTGAAAGATGCATCATCATCCTGTACTTGCTAAACCTATAAAAGCACACTGTTCTTAAAGGGCATCTTCTTCTATTTTAGTTGGTAGGAGAAAAAAAAGGGCCATATTTTGCCTAAAATGTAAGATACTCAAGATTACCATCTGGTTTACTGACCTACTGCATAAAAGCAGAACCACACTTGCAGCTGGGCAGTTGGTTTGAACATCAACATGGATTTACCTTGTGAAGAGAGCTAGGCTATCTGTAAATGTACTTGAATGTCTACACAGCCTGCCCAGGACGTTTATTGAATGAACGAAATAATCAATCAGTCCTGCCAAGAATGGCAAGATATTTTCAGACATCATCAAGCGAGCACAACATTTTCCCTGGCATCAAAACACACAAGCTCATCCAGCCCCGCAGGAAGTGGATATGACACGCGGGGTCAAGGAGGATAGTCACAGCCTCGCTTTCTGCAATAGGTACCTAGGAGGCAGGAGAGGATAGTAGAGGGAAAACCTGAAGTGACACATGTTGATTGGCCGAGGCATGCCTGGGTGCTGGCACTCATGCATATTGATGTGGGACAAAAGGCCAAACTTGTCAGCGCTTCCGTTGAGACACTGCCGGCCACGGTCATGGTACTGGGATCCCTGATGACACCCTCAATTGGGCACAAGCTCACATGGGCAGGCTGACATTTTCTCACAATGATGCAGAGGTAATAGAAATGTAAATAAAGTCGGCATAACAGAAGAAAGCAGGCTGAAGAAGCCTCTCAGCACACAATGCAATTACCCGTCCTCGATAAGCTTTTTCTCTCTCTGTTTGCCAACAATGGAAATGGTAACTTATTTTCCCTCCCCTCTGGCCTTAGGGAGAAAAATAGCTCCATTTGTCTCCAATTGACAGAGCTTAGAATAAAGATAACGTTAATGTTCAAGGTTGTGTGCTTGTGCCAAGCGTGAGGACATGCTTCAAGTGTGCCACTGCTTTCACCAATGAGTGGACAATAGAATCTACATGCTGACAAAGCTTAAAAAATCCTGAACATTCATCAGGAAAATGCAAGAAAGTTTTGGCTTTAAATTGTTATATATTTTAAGGTCAACTAAGATTTCAGAGTTGTGAATGTTTTGTTTCGGTTCACTCCTACTTGATATGAATAACACAGAAGGGACATATTCCTAAATCAACCTTCCTGTCAACCAAACACAGCACTAATAAATATACTACTGTTCAAAATTTTAGGGTTGGTAAGATATTTTTTATATTTTTTAAAGAAATCTCTTATGTTCACCACGTCTGTATTTAAAAAAAACAGTAAAACAGTAATATTGTGAAATATTACAATTTAAAATAACTGTTTTCTATTTTAATATATTTTATTATACAATTCATTCCTGTGATGGTGAAGCTGAATTTTCAGCATCATTACCCCAGTCTTCAGTGTAACATGACCAAAAAAATAAATAAAAATTATAATAAACTGAATTCAGAAATCATTCTAATATGCTGATTTGGTTTGTAAGAAACATTTTGTAAACTGTGCTGCTTATTTTTATTAATTAATTTATTTAGAAACCAATATGTTTTTTTTTTCAGCAAAATTAATGTAGTACATACTGTTATCATTACATAAAATTAATCATAAACTGAGATATAGCATTCCTGTATATCAAATAGTAGATCATTATTCTAGCAATGCCAAGGTCATTGGTTCAACTCCCAGGGGATGCATGAACTGATAAAGTATACCTTGTAGGCTAATGTAAATCACTTTGGATAAAAGCATCTGCCAAGTCAACGCATGTAAACGTAAAGCTGATTTAGGAAAATGTCCTTCATGTACATGGAAAGGTTGACTTACAAACTGATATCTTGCTGTGGTTGTCTTTACTTGGCAGCATCTTCACCCCTCTGGACTTCAGTTCTGTCATCTTCTTCACTGGAAGTCAAAATAATTATAACATGTTTATTTGAGAGCAGGAAGGATTAGAAAAAGCTGAAAAAACTATAATCACTGGCCAGATGCTTGCTAGGCATTACAAATCATGAACCGCATTGTAATTACAATTACAGTCTTTCAAAGAAGCTGACATTCTTGTGCAAAAAAAGCCTATTGTGTGTGAACAAAGCACAGCATATTTGTTGAAAAAGCGACAAAATAATGCCAGCACGCATTAGTACGCACGCACGCAGTCACGCACACACACACACACACACACACACACACACACGCACACACACAGTCATTGTTTTCTGCTACACTGTCTCAAAGCTTCAGCACAAGAAAATCAGCATTTGGGTAAGCATTTGTAAAGGAGATATGTACCATTCACAATCAGCTGTTTCAGAAAAACCAAATAGCAACAAGTCAATTAAAATTACAAACGTAATGATTAAATAATATTTGAAGTGAGTCATTTCTTTTTTTCTATTTTTGCCAACTGAATGGCAAAATAAATGATTTTAAAACAGGTTGCAATAAGTATTTTCACCTTTGCCTGTCAAACAAAAATATGTACATTATGCATGTACATATTATTTATGTACTTTATTTAATTATTAATTTATTTTTATTTATTTATGAGGGCTCTCAATGTCCAGATCTGCAGAACAATCAGATGATAATGTACAAAAAAAAGTGTATTACAGATCAACATTTTACTATTATTGGCTCTATAAGACTATTTGAGTATGTCTTTCTTTAAAAATCGCTTTACCCTCTCTCTCCATTCCTAATTTTGAAAAAAGATTGAGAGGAAGTGAAGTAGTTTGTTACGTAACAGTCTTCTCATTGGATGTTACTCATTCCAGATCATTTCACTAAAGGTTGGAAAGAGGAAGGGAGGTAAAATAAAAGGAGAGAGGTCAGTGGGAAATCTAATTAAGAGCTTAGCACCCCTTTCTCTCTTCCTGATACTCAAAGTATTTATTTATCAAACTCCAGTCCTGTAATCCCATCCCATCGCTCTGATCTGCTTATGGAGGAGGTAAAATTCCTGCAGATTCCGTCTTTGTTTCCCGTAGCTGAGCTGACTAATCCCGCTCCTCTGCTCATCTCCTCTGAGTGCTGACCTTTGAACTTGAGTGTGATGAGAGTGCCGCTAGTAGCGCAGCTGGTGTGATGTGTGTGTGTATCTCTATGTGTCAGGAGTTGGGGGTATTCATGACCTTTAACTGACTTAACACTTAACCAAGATGATTAAAATAATATGACTTTAATTCTAACTGCAGACAGGGGAAAACTCTGCAGGGCGCATGATAACTACTGAGAGCAAACACTTTTTTGCATGTTTTCTGCATCGGTTGTGGGGGAAAACTCTATAAAACTGATTTAAAAATGTGCTTTAACGCATAGTTTTTTCCAAAAGTCTGAAGGTTTACCGTAAAGGCATTTATAACGGTACAAGATATTTATGTTTTTTTAAGATTTATTAAGTTCAAATGAATAAAAATAAATCCTGACAGAAAACATAATAATAATACTAATTTTAGCTGTTAAAAGGGGCACAACAGAACATTACAATATATATATATATATATATATATATATATATATATATATATATATATATATATATTCGCTTTGTATTTTATACCCTTTTCATTACAGCTCTATCTAACAATGATTTGTCAGCCCAGTATATACATGTATTCGCATTGAACCGTTCGGTACGAGGGTTTCGGTTCGGTACGGATTACAAACCGAATGATTCGTTGGACTAATCCTATTACATCTGGAAAATAAAATAAAGTGTGTGAAATATAATGTTTTCAGTGCCACTGCACTCAACAAGGCAGCCCAAACGACGCAACAGCCCCCAAAGAAAAACACACTACTCCAGTCAGGCATAGGCTGAACTAGATCGTTCATTGCAATATGGCTAGTAACTAGGGCTGGACAATAATTTAATATCAATATATATGGCAATATAATTTTTTTTCAATAACGGTGATATGATTTTTAAACACATTTCCAATATTTTGATACACATTGCCAGTGTTTCCCATACATTGATTTATTTGTGGCGTTTGACTTTGTTAAATAAACATGAGCGCTGCACGTTTCAAAATCAAAACGCAGCGCAGGTGTTTTATATGAATGTCTTTGAAGGGAACCAATTGTCTTCAGAAAAGTTTCGATGGCATTTTCATTTTATCTGATAAAGCAGCGTCCATGAGCGCAGCGCTGCTTTGGGTACAGCCATTACCGGGGAAACCACTGTTACTACCACTCCATAAGCACCTCCTGCTGGCAGAGAATGAGCCCGTCTACAGAAACACGTTTCTGTTGTTGCTCGCTCTGTTTTTGTTTTCTGCAGCAACTCTGAGCATTTTTCATATTCTTTATCCTGGCTGAAGCACTTTTCTTTCAATCTATAGGAATAATCAGCCTATGTTATAGGGGTGGGAATCTATGGGTATCTCACAATTCGATTACGATTAACGATGCATCACAATGTTGTACCATCTATGTAAAATTCTACTACTTTTTAAACAACCACAGAACTCAAGGGTGAAGCAAAAAAGATATTTCACACTATTACTTTATTAACAGTGTGCAAGCGCAATATTCAAAAAGTGCCAGTAGCAGCATTTGCTGTAACAAATAGAAAACTGACAGCATTAACATCGCACATGCACAAATCCCCCCAGCTGAGCAGCAACAACCATGTTTGATGCGTTGTCGGTCACTAACACCAAGTCTCTCGTGGCAAACTGCCATTCCTCAGCGACGTTTTGTATTAGGTCAGCTATATTAGCGCCTGTGTGAGCAGTTTGCAAAACATGGGACAAAACAAATCACCGTAAAAAAATCATGATTCAATTTCTCTGGCATTTCTTTCTTTTTGCTGTATTGAAAACGTACCGAACCGTGACACCACTGTATCGTATCGAACCGAACCGTGAATTTTTTGAACCGTTACACCACAATTCTGTGTTTTTCTGTCAATATGGGGTGCTGTGTGTACATTACTTAAATGATTTTAGCAAATGGCTGCAAAATAGCAAAGAGTGAAACATTTAAGGGGGTCTGAATACTTTCCGTACCCACTATACACACACACACACACACACACACAACCTTTTCTTTACACAATATTAGTTTTTACATTCAATAAACAAACAGAAACTAAAATGAGGAATCACAAACTTGCAAAGGTCAGGAGGATGCTGTGTAGAATGTGTTGTAAATAAAGGCTGGCACATATCTAGCTTTCTCCTTTCCCTTTCTCTAGTCTCTTCAAGTCATTTTCCAGATGTTTTTGACAACCAGAACCCCTGAGCTGTTTCTGTCCTGTTACATAGACACAAGTAAAAGGCACCAGTCCCACGACAGCCCATCTCTTACCTTGATACTGAGCACTGAAGCCTTTCAGTTTGTGGTTTCCATCGGATGTGAAGTGGAGTCTCAGCCAGTTCTTGCTGCTGATGATGGGTGATGGCAGGTTTGGACCAGTAAACCTGTAATATTGAAGAGAAGACAAGATTTATCGAGTGTAGTTCGCTTTCTTCTCTCTTTCTCTGTGGAACACTAAAGGAAAGCATGCAGTTACAAAGAACCGAGGCTTTCAAACTTCAACAAAGCACCATATAAGTGGTCCATGTGACTCATGCGCTAAAATCGAAGAAATCTGAAACCATTCGATAACGTATTGTGATGAACAGACCAGATAGTAGGTCCTTTTTCAAAGCTTGAAAGCTTTAGGCCCCATTCATTATAATTACAACTAGCGACCATCACAGTCCTCATAACTTCTTCTGTTGTGTTTTTACAGAAGAAACAAAGTCATAAAGGTTTAAAACAACAAGAGGTTGAGTAAATGATAGAACTTCATTTTGGAGTAAACTATAGTTTTAACCTAGAGAAGAGGAAAGAAAAACATTTCATGTACAAGCATATTTCACAACCACATGGAGTCTAACAATTTAAAACTGTGCAAGTAAACCAACAACACATCAACAAAACAAACACAGACAGACATAAAACACACCAGTTTCAAAGTAATTAGTGTGTAATCATCCACGTGAAAAAGAGCCATACAAACAAATTAACATTTGTAGATATATGTCTCCCCTCTGTATGATTTGCTCAATAACAACCCACCTGCCCTAAGCTTAGATGTACCAATGCTCAGGTCTTGGGATTGTCAGAATTAGTGTTAATAACTCAGATAAGACAGACACAGTAGGACAGCTTCTTTATTGTAGTGAGCATTAATCGCATAAGCTGAGAAGAAAACAGAAAGTTGTCTGCCTAAGAAACATAAGCTTATTCTTGCCGTATTTACCAAATGTCAGATTTGGTTCAATAAGCTCTACAAACAGAAAGAAAGACAGACCTGAAGAGGGAGGGAGAGAGAGACAAAGAAACAGATGTATAGGGAGGAATGAACCGTTTTTGAGAGCTTAGTCCAGCATATCTGATGCAATAAAATATTTTGTAACTTCTCCAGCTCAGAACGACCAAGCCCACCAGTGCTGAGCGAAGGGAATAAAAATGGGTCTGAGTCACTAGCACTATAGCTCTTTTCCCAAACTAAATCATTAACATTTAAACGACTGCATGCAATATGTGTGTCTGCTGCTTATGACGTAATGGCTTAGACTTTTCTTATTTTGTGGAGCCTCTCAACAGTGATTTTTTATATATTTTTCTCACAAGCCATCAATGACACAAAACAGCTTGTGAGATACAAACCACCAATGTAATGGCTAAAATGATCTTGTATTATTTGGCAAGGAAAATGAGGAACATGCAGACCTTGATTGCAGAACCAATGGATTTTCATTGAGTTATCTGCATAAACTTATGTAAGTCATAACTCAATGTCATTAGAAACATATGCTAGAAAAATTATTTCTGACGATTGCATTTGCAGCACATTACAGTCACTCGTCACTTTACGTTCAGACCAGCACCTGTTTACATCCACACTGAAGCTAAATACGATTGCCACTCTAAACATATTTGAGTGCTAACATTCCCTTCTCTGTGTGCTTTTAGTCAATATCTGTTAGTTTTGAAGATATCTATATCCTATGGCTACTCCTAAATGCATTCTGTATATCACTACCTGTAACCAAACTAGCCATTTTCAATTAATTAATAAAATAAAAGGCCTACATTAAATATGTTCATCATATAAAGCAATAATATATCTTCATAAAACCTGAATTAAACTGCTTGGTTCATATGGATTGGTTTTGCAATGTCTTTATGAGCTTTTTGGATCTTCAGAATTTTGGTTACCTGGGGCCTGATGTATAAAGGTTGCGTACGCACAAAATGGGCATGGAAATGTGCGTACGCAATTTTCCACGCACATATCGGGATTTTTAAAAAATAAACTAGGCGTAAATATGTGCACACCGTACGGACACTCTAAACCAGGGATGGGCAACTTTGATAGTGACAAGGGCCAGCATTTTTTCTCCTTTATACCAAGGGGCCAGATTACTAATCCACGTCCACACACCTTTTACACCGTCTTACTCAATTTCCTTTTTATTGAAGGAAATTAAAGTATAACTAATGTAATTTGTTTTTAAAGATTTTATTAAGTATAAAACTTGTGCAGTTATGCTAATTCAGAAGGAAACCTGTGTTGTCGGTGGACAGAAATATTACCCTGACTAGCCAATGTAAACATTTCAATTGCATTGTCTGTAAATTTGCAACAAACAAATATACAGAGGTCCTTTTTTATCAGTAGCCTAGAGAGCATTCAAAACAACCTAAAAGGACAGTTAAAAAGGTTATTCCAAATGGTAGCATAAAATAACCTGGTATCTGCAGGATTTTTAAAATCAAATTTAAGACCTTTAAAGACCTTTTTAAGATCTGCACTTCACATTTCAGCCTTTAAAACATTTTTAAGAAAAGGGATGAGTCAAAAGTATGAATTATTATATTAATTCAAACAATTATTATCAGTTCATTATTATATTAAATAACATAAATATATCTTAGTGTCTTAATTGTTTAGATTTTTATAATGCATTAGCTTTTTGTCGATCCACTGGTTCACATTTAAAAATATGTAGCAAAAATAGCAGATGGGCTTATTGAAAAAGTTAATTCGTTCTCTGCCAGCAGGTTTCACTTTCGGAACTGCGCATATAGTGGTTTCCCCAGTAACCGCAGTACACAAAGCTGACGTGCAGCGCTCAAGTTTATTCAGTGAAATCGTAGCCTTTTGAAGTTTAATCGTCATATTAATCCATATAGCAATTCTTGTCTTTCCGTTCCCCAAAGACCTCTTAAAATTTAGACTTTATGTACCATTTAAGAGTTTGCATGGCCTGAAATGTAAACAATGTAACTGAAGACGTTTTAAGGACCCGCGGAAACGCTAATAAGAACATAGTCCATTGCAAATATTTGTGTCATGCATTTGGCAAAACGCTTTTGTTGACTATGAATTTTACCTTTGAAATTTTTTATACATTTGAAATTGAGATTTAAATAAAATACAGATTTCCAAACAATCCAAACATATGGGTATCCCCTTGAACTTGGAAAAAGATATGTAACCTACTTGTTCTACAGATCTGTGCACTAGTGTTAAATGCTACTGTTTTTGACAGCGTTGATAACATTTATGACAGATAATATCATGATCATTTTTGCGTTTCCCTTACCGAATGTCGTATCCTGTCAGCAGAAACCTGTTCATGGGCTTTTTTGATTGCTTTCAGTTTAAGTGCCGGCGATGCAGTGTTGCCAGATATTGATCTTAAAACAAAAAAAACAAAAAATAAACCAAAATTATGTCCAATCTTTTGCAAATAAGATAAGATAAAGATATCGCTGACTCTAAACTACAACTTCCTACTTTATTAACTTTCTAAAGTGTTAAATTAAGTGGAAAAGACAAGTCCAAAAACGCTTATAATAGCTGGATATTTCTATTTCGCGGGAGTCCCGCGAATCATTTTATTCTCCCGCATCCCGCATACGCACTCTGTCTGTTGCGTCCAGGCACCATCAAAACATTAGGCTCGTTTGAGATGCATCGGCGCTGCGTAGACCGATCGGCGTATGACATCAAAGTACCGCGAGAGCGATTGGAGAGCAGAGGACTCTTCAAGCTTTTGAATCGCTCTCGCGTTACTTTGATGCCATACGCCGATTACTTTAAAGTCAACTGTAAATGCGATTTTCTCAATATTTAGATTTTTTTGCACCCTCAGATTCCAGATTTTCAAGTAGTTGTATCTCGGCCAAATATTGTCAGATCCTAACAAACCATACATTAATGGAACGCTTATTTATGCAGCTTTCAGTTGATGTATAAATCTCAATTTCGAAAAATTGACACTTAAGTCAAGTCGTCACCTTTATTTATATAGCGCTTTTAACAATACAGATTGTGTCAAAGCAACTGAACAGCATTAATTAGGAAAATCGTGTGTCAATAATGCAAAATGACAATCGTAAACACTCATTTTTCAGTTAAAGACAGTTCATCATTGAATTCAGTGATGTCATCATCCAGCTCAGTTCAGTTTAAATAGTATCTTTGCAATCATTTGCAATCAAGTCAACGATATCGCTAGAAATGAAGTGTCCCCAACTAAGCAAGCCAGAGGCGACATCGGCAAGGAACCAAAACTCCATCGGTGACAGAATGAAGAAAAAACCTTGGGAGAAACCAGGCTCAGTCGGGGGGCCAGTTCTCCTCTGACCAGACAAAACCAGCAATTCAATTTTAGGCTGCAGCAATGTCACATTGTGCAGAGGACTCATCTGGTTCCTGTGGTCTTGTCCCGGTGGTCGTCTGAGACAAGGTCTTTACAGGGGATCTGTATCTGGGGCTCATCTAGTTGTCCTGGTCTCCGCTGTCTTTCAGGGCTGTGGAGATCCTTGGAGGTTAGTGAATGTTTACATTAGAGTGCACGTCCTACTACGCTGAAATTAATAGGGGAGCAGCTGGAAACTAGCGACCTCTCCAGGTTGGAGATAGTATTAACATCATAAACTGAAAGCTATCTTTACGTGACTTGCTTTTCAAATGTTTTAAAATTGATTACCCGAGTCTAACATGATCTAGCGAGCCATACTAAAAGATACTGCGGGCTGCCAGTTGCCCATCCCTGCTCTAGACCATGCTTACGCACTCTTTTACTGGAGTGAGCGAAATAAGGAAGCAAACAGAATGATTTTAAAGTCTGTTTTACATTTGACATACACATTTAGATTAAATATGACACTCTGAATAATGAAGCTAAGCACTGAAATTTCATGAAATTATTACCCAGAATTTACAACATTTGTATATTAATTTAAACAGAAATATTTGCAGTGGAAGTGCTGCTTTCGAACAATTTTCCTGTGGTATGTCATTTAAAGGGGTCATATGACGCGATTAAAATTTTTCCTTTCTCTTTGGAGTGTTACAAGCTCTTGGTGCATAAAGAAGATCTGTAAAGTTGCAAAGACTAAAGTCTCAAATCTAAAG